TATATATATATAGGTACAATGAGACTAAATTAAAATAGGCTGAAACACGAAATGTTGTGGACCTTGACTAAAGATCACGTCTCAGTTGCAGTTCATAGTATCGACCACTGGATGTCCTCCTCGAGCACCGTGTCATTGAAACCTGGAGTGTCAAAGCTTCAGTCGGCAAACATTAATTCTGTTAGTCCACTAAACCGAACTAAAAAAATATCGCTTCAGAACTGTGGTCTTTAATCGGAACATTAAATCTGACAGAACCCCGTTAGCTCCAGAGTGCTAGTTAGCGTCAGCGCTATGTTGTGCTAATGCTAACTCCACTCAGCTCCTCATGAGCAGTTAGCCTCAATTAAAAACCCTTTCTACAGACAGATATTTACCCAAAGCTGTGCCCAGTTTGGTTGTAGTCCATGTTTTCTCCACACAATCGGTCCCCTGTGGAACATCCCAGTACCCCATCTTTAAGCTAAAAAGGTCAACACAAATGTTCTTCTTCAGCTTTTTTTTTCTTCTTCTGTGGTTTTTCTCGAGTCTCCAGTTACAGTGCTGCCATCTGCTGGACGATATTAAAAGCTTGTTTTCATGTTTCCTTCTGATTAAAATCGCACTTTCTAACCACTCAGTCGATATATTTGTTCATTATAAACATTATAGCAAATAAGTTTTGTCTAATTCCTTCATATATCTCTTCTCATTAAATTTACGCAATTTTGGAACAAAAGTAATTAGATTTTTAGTCATTTCCAGGATTAGTATAGAAAAATAAAACAGGGTTATGGGAAACTAGTAATTACTGAGTCTTTTTTTTTTCAAAGTCCACTTTTTCTTTCTTTTATCCCCTACAATTTTTTTGTGGGACAGTCCTTTTTACACTGTTTATTGTCTTTACCTACAGTGTGAGAGGCAACACAAGTCCATCACAAGGACACGTTAGACAAACACTCTAATCTAGAGAAAACTTTGACTGACTGATTAACCTAACATGAATGTTTTTGGTATGTGGGAGGAAACTGGGGGGTACCCACTGACAGAAACTAAATAAAGCTCTGATTTTAAATTACCTCATTAAACTGCAAGTCACAAAAGTTTTTTTTATTAGAAGCAAAAAGGCCCATATTTTGGTTCCAATATGTTCATTTGTAGCAGAAAATCTGTCAGAACATTTTCCTCGTTGTTAGTTTCTTGACATGATTCAGGAAGATGAGGTCTCTGTGATGTTCAGCAGTCAGCACATCACAAACATGTCAGATGTGTCATTTCTTCTTCCACAGGTGACTGTAGGTGTCCACTTTGAAGTCATCTTCATAGATGACTTCTTCTGTTTCCTTTGTCTTCACCATCCTCTTCTTCATTCGAGCTTGACGCTCCTCTTCGGACAGAGTGGCCAGATTAACCGGCATCTTCGAAATAAAAAACAACAACAGCTTAAAGAAACAGTAACTTAAATCTTTACACAACTTTCTGCTGCTTAAATTCAATAATCGCCCACCTCTGAAATACACTCCTGATCAAAATCTTAAGATCATAGAATCTTAAGTTCTAAGTAGAGCTTCACAATGTTAAAAGAAGAAATCAGTGCAAGAGACAAGAACTTTTGAGCAGGGAATTTTCTGGAAACTGCATTTACACTCAAACATGATTTTTTCAGCTGATCAAAAGTTTAAGACYATAGTCTTTAAAAGCCAAAAGCTGTGCAAACATCTGGATTCCATGTCATTTTCTGTCAAGTCTTTACACTGCCAAGACCTCCTGATGGTAAAAGTAAAAAAACTCACTGACTTTGAACCTGGTAGGATTGTTGAGCTGCATAAGCAAGGCCTCTCACAACGTGCCATCCCTGCTGAAGTTGGACCCAGTAAGACAGGCATTTTGCATTTTTTAAATGATCCTGAGGGTTATGGAACAAAAAAGTCAAGTGGTAGACCCAAAAAAATTTCACCAGCTCTGAGCCGCAGGATCCGA